AAACGGGAGGGACAGTGGGGGCTGGGGAGTTCAGGAGAGATATCATGGGGAGAAATGCCAGATACAGGTGAAGGGGAGGAAGGCAGCAAATCACACTGCCATGTGTGTACCTATGCAACAATCTTGCATGTTCTTCACATGTACCCCCAAACCTAAAAACAATTAAAAAAATATATATAATCTTCATATAGTGTACCCATACATATATATTCCTTTCCATATATTCATGCATTTGCCTTTGCATATACATATATTTATGTACATTTGTATAATGATCAAATCTCATTACAATGAATTTCATTGGATTATCTAATTCCCCATATATATATATATATATATATATATATATATATATATATATAAAATTGCATTTTAGGTTTTAGGGTACATGTGAAGAACAAGCAAGATTGTTGCATAGGTACATACATGGCAATGTGATTTGCTGCCTTCCTCCCCATCACCTAAATCAGGCATTTCTCCCCAAGTTATCCCTCCCCAACTCCCTACCCTGCACTGTCCCTCCCCCAGTTGCCCTGCACAGACCCCAGTGTGTGATGCTCCCCTCCCTGTGTCCATGTGTTCTCATTGTTCATCACCTGCCTATGAGTGAGAACATGCGGTGTTTGATTTTCTGTTCTTGTGTGAGTTTGCTGAGAATGATGGTTTCCAGGTTCATCGATGTCCCTACAAAGGAGATGAACTCATCGTTTTTTTAAAAATATATAAACTGTAAAATACATGTGCACTGTAAAAATATACGTTCATTGTAAAATGGTACCAATGTACAAGAGCACTTTTCTGCATTTCTTGACTTTCTTACAATGGGTATATATTTCTTTATAATAACAGACAATAGATGACTCTGTAAAATAGTTTGGCAGTTTCTTATACAAACTGAACATGTTATCATACAACCCAGCAGTTGTACTCTTAGGCGTTTATCTCGGAGAAATAAAATCTCCTGTTTATACTAAAACCTGTACATGAATGTTCATAGCAGCTTTATTTATAATAGCCAAAGTAGAGATACCCAGATGTCCTTTACCAGCTAACTGGTTAAATAAACTGTGGCATATCCACACCATGGACAACTTCTGAGTGATAAAAAAAGATGAACTACTGATGTATGTAACAACCTGAGTGAATCTTCAGAGAAATTATGCTGAATGGAAAAACTCAATCCCTAAGGGTAACACACTGTATAATTCCATTTCTATACCATTTTGAAATGACAGATTTATAGGAATGGAGAACAAATTAGTGATTTTGAGGAGCTGGGGATGGGTTAGGGAAGTAGGTGTGGTTATAAAGGGCAGCATGAGCAATCCCTGTGCTGATGGAAATGTTCTGGATGTTAAGTGTATCAGTATTAACATCCTGGTATTGTCCTACAGTTTTGTGTGGTTCTTTTTACTGCAGTTTGGCAAGATGTTATCACTAGGGGTAAGTGACTAGGTAAAGAGTGCAAACCAAGAATAAAATTCTAAGGCCCCCCAACTATCCAGATGGACCCCTCCTCTCAGCCAGGGGGATTCCAAAGTTATCCTGCAAAGCTAGTTCAGGCTACGATGGGATGGGAAGGGGGAGTTGGCCATGCCTCATTCTCAGTATACCGTCCTTCCTTTTGGAATTCAGTAAAAGCTAACTAGCATTAACATCAACACGGACCTTAAATATGGTAAGAAACATTTACAATCTATTCTCTCTGAAGCCTGCTACTTGAAGGCTTCATCTGCATGATAAAACCCTAGTCTTCACAACCCCTCAGGGTAACCCAGACATTCCTTCCTATTGATAATAACTCTTTTAACCAACTGCTGATCAGAAAATGTTTAAATCTAACCTGTGAACTGGAAGCCTCTGCTTTGAGTTGTCTGGCCTTTCCAGATCAAACCAATGTAAATCTTACATGTATTGACTGATGAATTATGCCTTCCTAAAATGTATAAAAAGCAAGCTGTTCCCCAACCTCCTTGGACACATATTGTCAGGACATCCTGAGGCTGTGTCACGGGTGCATCCTTAACCTTGGCAAAATAAACTTTTGAAATTGGTTGAGACCTATCTCAGATACTTTTGGGCTCACAAGGGTAACTGGGCTCTCTCTATTATTTCTTAAAAGTGCATCTGAATCTGCAATTTTATCCAAAGTTTAATTTTAAGAAAGGGATTGGAAATAAATTTTAACTTGAAAAAAATGACTACTATGTTGGATCGATACTTGCTTTAAGAAAATTTATCTTTCAAATAGTATCAAAATATATGTGTATTTTGCCATACCAAAAAAACCCCCAAAACATTGCTGCATGAAATAAAAATATGTATTACACCTCTAAATTAGTAATACAATAATTTAATTTTCAGAGAACACAGCTTCCCTTCTGATGGCATAATGAGAGGTTACTACATGGTTTCCTCTTCAGCAAAGTTACTTATCCGGATGAGTAGCAACATACAAATAATAGGAGAGGATGGGTTGCAGAGAATTAGCATTATATCAGCCCTCTCATTTCCTGATGCTTATAGATTTGAGGAACCCCCAGGTTTAACCCCACATCAGTGGAAGTGTGAGAAAAGGACAGACTCAGACAGGAACAGGCACTGTTCGAGTATACTCTTCCCAAGGACAGTGGTTCTCAAACTAAGAGAGCATCTTAGTTTGGGAACCTGTTACCAACCAATCTTCCCCAGACACATCTTCAGCTACTGACTCTGTGGCTTAGAGGTGTGGCCCACAAATCTGCACTTTTTATAAAGAACCCCAGTGAAACAAGACGTTCAGGAACACTCCTCTCAGGCATGCTGGGAGCTGGCCTGGCTCTGAATTGCCCAAGCAGTGACTGCAGTCCTCAGCAGAACAATAGATTTTAGTCGTCTTTCCTTAAGGAAGATTAAAGGGATTCTTCTAGTTTAGGAGCTTATAAAGCAAATTACGAGATTGATTGCCAAGAACCGAGCTCATACCAAGTAATGGACTAGATGTGGATGCTTAACTGAAGAGGAGAGAAGAGCATTGGTGGCCACTCTGCCGTGGAGATGAACCCGTAGCCAGTGGGTCCCCAGAGTTCTGGAAAATGACTTGGTGTGTGAGGAGGGGGGTTTTGAAGGAAGGTGGTTTTCCTAGAACTGGTTAGGAGCAGCACGAGAGAACATACCGTGACCTTGCTTTTTACCCTTAGGAAGACGAAGGTAACTTGGGAAACAGTTTGTTCCACACAGACAAAACAAGCTGCAAACAATAAACATTGCCCAGTCCCGGATACTTTCCTTAAGCTCTCAGTTCGTCACTGTATTGGGCAAAAGGCTCCATATAAAATAGGGACTTGCAGAGGGAATGCAGAGATGATAGTTAGAGGGTACAAACTTTCAGTTACAAAATGAGTAAGTTCTGGAGACCTAACATACAGCATGGTGATGATAGTTAATGGTAATCTGTACTTGAAATCTGCCAAGAAAGTAGATCTTAAGTATTGTCAACACACACACACACACACACACACACACACACACACACACACACACAGAGAGAGAGAGAGAGAGAGAGAGAGAGAGAGACAGAGAGACAGAGAGAAAGGTAGCTAAGTGAGGCAATGGATATAGTTAACTTGATTGTGGCAAACATTTCACACTGTATGCATACATCAAAAATTCATGTTGTGTATCTTAAATATTATATATAGTATAATTTTTATTCTTCAGATATACCTCAATAAAGCTGGATAAAAAAGATGAATTTTATTCCTGTTTGCTGCCACAACCACTTTCTCAACCTGCACCAACTCTCAGATCTGTTTCTGATCCTCCCAGCTACTAACCAGCCTCGTTTGTAACCTCTTTTCCACCCATGTCTGCCCTTCTCCGTCTATTTCTTGGCCATGACTTTCATTTCTCTCAGCAGTAATTCCGATTATTCACTTCTGCTGCTTTGCCCCTGGTCATATCAAGTACATGCTCTTTTTAGCTTATTGTTTACCCAGGAATGTTTATACCTCGTTTCATCTGGATGAAGATGCTCTGCCCACCAAGGTGCCCCATCAGCTGGCCACACCCCAGTGCTGCAGATGGTGGCGGTAAGAGCACCGGTGAAGCACTTGGCTAGAAGTGGCCAGAGTAGTGTCTCTTTTCTTCTTCCTTTTCTTCTTTCAGCTGTCCAAGTTGGTTTTATCTGCTTGGACGTTCCATATTTGGCCTGTTTCATACTGGGTCATAGTCCCTGTTGACACTTACTGTATAGGACTAGTTAAGGAATGGCAAGAGGTATCTTCTCACATGGAAATTCTAATTATTGTGATGGACAGCAGTGAGTGTGGTGTTAAAAAGAGTAGGATCTGACCTCAGTGTGCCATCATCAATTAGTCATGTCTCCCTAGGGTGCAGACGTGGGTAGATTTTTGCCTTCCAAGAGACTGACATCTTTAGACTGGACAGTTTCTTCTTTTCTTTAGGGCTGATACATTCACTGCAGGTGCTTCACATTATCTTTTTGCATTCCTTTACTCAAACCCCAATCTTTTAGTAAAATAACTATTTCTAGTGCATTAGCATTTTCCATTCATCTTTGCTATAAAAATATCTGCACAGCAGAAACTGCAGGAATTGTGTCTTTTTTCCAAAGAGAACATACTCTGCCAAGGCCTTTGGCAGAATCCATTTTGCAGCTGTAGTCTGGGAATTGTACAACTCTTTTTAGGTTTATGTTGGAAAAAGAGTAGCTTCTGGGCTGCATGCTGTCAGGAAAACTTTCCCCAGTATTCAAAAGCTCTTTCCTTTATGGCTGTTTCTTATCCCTTACTATTAATTGCCCATAATTACTGGTGTCATAGGACAAAATGCCTCTCTTATAGTTGAAATGTGAATACCCAAATCATGGAGGTTAGCACACCCAGTTGCATTCCTATTCCCTACACAAAATCAGGGCATTTGACATCCAGGCATTCCCACCCATACGCGTTGTTTCCTACAAAGTATCATCTTCACAAAGGAGCACTCACTCAACTTACCTTGTAATGGAAGAGAAACAATCCGCAGAACAGGCTGTACAAGTCCGCTGTGAGCAGAGAAAGGTTGACTGAAGTGGCGCTGGTTTTCTTTATGACGACTGGCATAAAGCTGTAGAGACCAAACATGCAGGCACTAAAGCCAACATAGAGCAGTCCTGGGGGAAGAGCAAAGAGAGGGCAGCGTTAGGGCCTCCTCCAGGGCGCCTTCAGCATCCACAGCGCGGCGAGAAGAGGAAGCGTGCACACCACTCATCACTCACACACCCCTATTAACTGATGTTTATTATTGGATAACACATATCAAAAATAAAATAAGATAAATTAAAAAATAAAAACTTAAGAGTGAAAAATGAACTTTCTGCTTCTTATTGAATAGCTGACATTTTGCTTCTTCTGGGAAGGAGTGCCTCTTAGTGGCTATAGTCAGAACACAGAATCAAGGTTTTTGAATTTTACTCCCAATTGTGCTATAATTAGCTTTTGTCACTCATCTATTTTTAAACTTTCTTTCTAACCTCTTAATTTTTAATTTGAGTAATAGGAACAAAACTGCTTGGTATCATGTATTGCTCACAATAATGAATAACTACATAGTCTTTAAAGTTGAAGAGCTCGCCTGTCAGAGAGACCTGAACTTAGAATACTGAACTGGAATGCTGACTCTGTGACTTGGCTGGATGAATTCATTGGTGGGAACACAGGATAATCTGTCAGTCTCTTCCAGATTTGTGAATCTGTTCTGCCCTACCCACAACACATGGAGTCTTGCTCTTCTATCACATATCCTGGCCTACTGTGTACTCTCATATGTGGGCTTTCATACCCTTAAAATACTATGTAGCCAATCTCTCATCATCAAAATTTCTCTCTCTCTCTCTCTCTGTCTCTCTTTCTCTCTCTGTAATTAAGCCTAGACATGGGTACCCTATTTTGCGGGGCCCCAAGCAAGAGTTTACAGCTAAATCTATACTGTGGTTTGTTTTTCCCCAAATGTTGATACAATGCAAATTAAAAAAAAAAGTAATTCTCATTTTTCCACCTTGAAAGAATAAGGCATAGGATATGCGTAAATGTGACAATTCAGTGGCTGCCTGGGCATTACAATATAATAAAAATAACCTTTCCAAAGGAATCCTTGATTAAATGTGTCTGGTGTGGGGTATAGGCAGAGTTGCTTCCTCTGAATTTTATGGATTTAGGGGAGTTTGGTAGGTAATGAATATCTGGTCTTTCTGATTATGAAGACCAGTGATTCATGCAAAGATAAATTGGGTTTGCTCATATGAAAAGTGCTTAAGGTCACAAATCATCACTCCATATGAGAAGCCACATCAGATCTATGAAAAAATTATTCTGAACATAAGTAAGTAAACTCAGTACAACAGCCCCCTCTAGCGTGGTGGAAGAGCCCTCAGAGGAAGGGGGAACAACCACTTTCCTGTTTTGGAAAGATAAAAGTCCTGTGTGTAGATTCTATCACAGTAATATTAGTTTGGTTTTTAATTCTCCATCAGAAGTTTGAATTCCCTAAAAACAGACTGTTTTCCTGTATGTGGGTTTCATGCTACTTGTGGTTCATTTTCCTTTCAACCAAGCTACTAAAAATGCAGTAATAAATATTACATAACTTATGACTAATACATGAAAACATAAAAATTAATATGGTACTCCTTAGAGAAATCTGTGACTAACAGATGAGAGACAAGACTATCCTTAAATTAATCTACTAAAAATAACAAACCTTAATCAGAACACAGTCTAGGCACCACAGGCTTGCTTCTGTCTTTGTTTTGTTTTTTGAAGGTGTCACTGATTTAAATACCATGACTGGGTTAGAAAGTTCCAGAATAATACCCTTCCATCATTTTGCATGGACTTTGACTTGTGGGCTCTGATGTTTTATATTCACTCATTTATTCAACCATTATTCTCTGAGTACTTACTATGCCCTGGGCACTCTGCTATGGGTTAGGAACAATGAAAAACAGGACAGACTAGAAGCTTAGAGTTGCTATTGATGCCATGCAGAAAGACAAGGGCTTCTTAAAGAGAATGGCGGGAGCTTGCTTTAGACAGGGTGGTGAGGTAGGGCTACTTTGTGGAGGTGGCATTTACCTCCAGTGCTGAAGCACCAAAAGTAGATTGCCATGAGAGAAGCCAAAGAAACTTGCACATGAAAACTTCCTGAAAGGGACAGGGCCTCAAGTGTCGCAGATGCTGACCAAGGCCAGAATGGCTGAGCGGAATGAAGAGAATGGGCAGGGGAAGCCGAAAAATTGGGAAGGGAATGGATCATGCAGGGCCCTGCAGGTCTTGGAAAGAAGAAACGTAAATCTTATTCTAGTTGTACAAGGAAGCCATTGAGAAGTTTGCAGCAGGTGACTAGAAGAATCTGATCTACATTTTCAAAAGATGATTTTGGCTACTTTGTGGAGAAGGGATTAGAAGGAGAAAAGCATGGGACCAGTTACAGAGACCAGTTAGCACGATGGCGGTGTTATAGTTCTGGCGAGAGGCTGGTAGCTTGCTTGGTTTTGCAGCAGAGAAGGGAAGTAGCTTGGTCTGTGAAGACTCAACAAGCCCTGGTGACAGACTGATGTAGGTGGTGAGGAAAAGGAGGGCATGGAGGATGCCCTTGGGTTTTGGCTAATTTAGAAACTGGGTGAACTGTGATGCCATATACTGAGATGGAGGGAACTAAAAGAGGACCAGGTTTTGGGGAGAAATAAAATGTTCCATTTTGAACGTGTTGTTTTAGATGCTTATGCATTATCCAAAAGGATCTGTTCAGTAGGGAGCTGGATATATAACTGGAGGACTCAGAAGAGGGGAGATTTTACAAGCCCAGTTGGTGAGCAAAGGAGAGTAGGAAAAGAAATAGATGGTACTTTGCTAACCAGGCTACCTTAGGATGCTTCCAGCTAATATATTCTCAACCTATTTTTAACTACTGCAGAAATTAGAAGTAGGGGGACAGGAGTGGAATATATGCACTATCACAATTGACAACTAGGTCAACCAATGTTTTTGTGTGTGAATATACTGTTTCCTAAGCAAAGGACAGCCAGCCAACACCTGATTAAATTGAGAGTTGGAATGCAGTATCGTTGCCCTTTCTTGGCTGTTCTCAGATGGACATTAGATAGTTAATGGATATTAACAATATCTCTGAAAGTCCAACTTGTTGTCCAGGTAGGGGCTTTCAATTGATTAGCATGATCATATAAATGAACTGAATTACTTTTTGACTGACAACTACAAAATGGCTGCAGTAACCACATTTATAAACAAAATATGTGTATAAACATTTCCTCTTGGAATGTTTTCTCTCTTACTAAGTATAGAATTTGGTCACTCTTGTCCTTAGGCACTAAAGTGATTTAAGCTACAGAGACAGGAAATACCGTTATCAGCTAATATGGACTGAACACTTACTATGTGTCAGGTACTTAAGAACAGTAATTAATCTCCACAACAATATAATGCTGATAACTATTGCTATCCTCTTTATACAGGTTAGGAAATAGGCTTATAGAATGTATCATTCAAGAGACACAGTCCATACTGGGTTCAATGGAGTACAAGTTACAAAGGTGTTCATATGGGTGACGGGGAAAAAGGGATGGTCAGATGGTCAGGCAACCTGAAGATTAGCAATAGCAGGGAGTTAGTAACAACGCAAGAGCTAGGGAAATACAAGAGGGAGGTAATGCTACCCAAGGTCAGAAGTTAGGAAAGCCCTCTCACCGAGGAGACTCAGCCACATCCAGAGGAGATCTGACCCCAAACACAGCGAAACAGGGAGAAACACCGGTTCCTTTCTTTCTCCCACCTCCAGTCTCCCTCTACTGACTCCAGTTGGCCAAAACTGACTGGAATCCAGTAGATAAGGAAGGCTGGGATGTGGGTTTGCATAAGCAGAACAGAGGAAAGTGTAAAAGAGGATCTGTGAGTAAACAGGCAAAAGAACAGCATATAAAGGTTGAGTAACTTGCCCTTAGGTCACATAGGCAGCCTGACTTTAAATTAGTACATAACGTACACCCATATTGTGTAATTATTACAAAGAAAAATAAGGCTTTGAAGGAATATCCTATTGGACTCTAATCAATACCTCATTTAATATATTATATATATATATATATATATATGTATATATATGATGTGTCTGTATAGGCTACATGTATTTGATCTCATCTCTTTCTTCGGGATTCCACTGGTGTTCTTTCTCTTTCTTTTGAATATATCAGAGTTCTAAAATATCATTTGTAATTCTGAAAAACAATGGCTAGGTTAGAAGACCTCTCAGAACATATGCATTAGGTAAAGTGTGTAAAGGGCGCCGGGCTGGCTTTGCTCAGATACGTGATGCTTGTCAAGTCACCTCAACTCCCCAGGCCTCAGGTTGAACATGGGTAAAAAGAAAGGTGTACTTTTTTTTTTTTTTTGAGACAGAGTTTTGCTCTGTTGTTCAGGCTGGAGTGCAGTTGTACAATCCCGGCTCACTGCAACCTCCGCCTCCTGGGTTCAAGCTATCCTCAGCCTCCTGAGCAGCAGGAACTACAGGCATGTGCCACCATGCCCAGCTAATTTTTGTATTTTTAGTAGAGACAGGTTTTCACCATGTTGGCCAGGCTGGTCTTGAACCCCTGGCTTCAAGTGATCTGCCTGCCTCAGTCTCCCAAAGTACTGAAATTATGGGTGTGAGCCATTGCGCCTGGCCATGAAAGGTGTATTCTTAATTATCTTTAGGTCTTTTCCTGCTCTGTGGTTCCATTATTTCATATTCGGGGAGAGGCCAAATCTCTTGTTTTGGCCTCCAGGAAAAAACTAAAACCAAAACCAAGACAAGCATCGACCACAACCAGAATGAAGAAGCCCCCTGCATACCGCAAGCCTGTGCTCACTGACCTGCAGCACAATTTTTATTTTCTCTGATATTTGACTTTCACATCGATTACATTTGTTCACACATCCTTTAGCACAGTATGACCCATGGGATAGAAGGAATGTTTAAGTTGTTTATTAGGCTTATGAATGTGACTCTAACATTCCTGCTCCCCAGGAGGGTATTTTAGGTCATACATTTCACTCGAGTTTACTGATTAGATAATCACAACCAGTCTTTCTGTTCAGTAGAATAAAACAATGGAATACAAATAAACAACAATAACTATTATTGCTTGCTTTTAATTGTTCTGTATTTTGCAATTGACCAGCGTTGTAGGAAAATAAAAAAATCTGTTTTTAAAAGTGACTTCAAGTTAAGAAAATAGAAAACATATTTATTATCCCAAAAGAAAAAAAAATCTTTCCACTTTGATAAAATGGCAACCCCATGAGTTGTCCAAGAGATTGTATGAGGTTAGATTACTGATGTGGAGAGGAGGAAGACAGAGAAATTCATTGACAGATGCTGAGAAATGACCTCTTGGATTTTGGTCTCCTAAACGGAAGAATGTGAGCTTTCCTTCAGGACATAGTCATCAGAGCTTGGCCTCTCAGGTGACTTCTCAAGGAGTGTGGGGTGGGTTTGAGAAGGTGCTGACTTTCCCCTGATATCTCCCTGCCTCTCTGGCCCATGAATTGCAGTGGCTGCTATGCCATCTTCCAGTTCCATAGAAAGAAAGTGCAGTGTGAAGCTTAAAGTCTCCTGCCCATTGTCTCCACTGCTTCCCTTTTGTCTGTGTTTTGTAAGATGAGAAAGGGAAGAACAAGATCATCTTTGTTGCTTGCCATTAATTCATTTGCTTACTTAGTAAATGTTTCCCTGCATGCCATGTGTCTAGTACTAAGCTAACAACAAAAACTTGCAGAAGGTCAGGGCAAGATAATGAGGACCAAGGAGGCCCCAGTGTAAACACATCCCTAACACAACCCTACAAATGCTTCAGAAAGAGGAAGATGAGTATTTGATTCCCCTGTGAGGCCATTTTGTATTGATAGTTGGACATATTTATGAGTTACATGTAGTATTTTGATACATGCATGCAATGTGTAATGATCAAGTCAGAGCAACTGGGATATCCATCACCTCAACCACTGAATCATCTTTGTGTGTGGTTGGGAACATTCCAAATCTCTTCAGCTATTTTGAAATACACAATAAATTATTGTTAATTATAGTCACCCTACTGTGCTACGGAGGCCATTCTGGCCTCATTTCCAATCAGAAATTAAATGGATGGATTCGTAATGTGTTCCTTGTACACTGTCCTTCATCATCTTCAACTACAGGGGACTGACGTTTTAATAGCAGTATGAGAGTTCAGAATAAAACCATCTTTTGATGACTCATTTAACACTGAATTATAACAGAGCCTCAGTAGATGGCATCCATATAGTTTGAGGACAAAGTCTTTTTGATCATTACTATTACCATCAATATCAAGTTAATTTATGCTCAAGGACCACTACATGTGAAGTGCTACCAAGCACAGGTAACATTTTGTTTTCTGGTGTTGAGGGTCACAAAGACAAATGCTTTCTGTGACCTCCAACTGGTTTCCTTTCCCTGTTAACCTCTTCTTCTCTCCCCACTTGCCCTGTTGATTTTCATTTAATTATATCATTCTGTATCAAAACGAGAGAGAAATTAAATGGCAGGACTGTGAGACACAGGACTGGTCAGCCCTTGAAGTCACTAGACAGACCCCCTAGGGAGAGTCAGGCACAATTCTGTGGCTTCAGAGGGAGCAATGTCTGCAGTAAGCCTCACGTGCTTAGGGGATGGGGATAGGTAGGTAAAGTGACTCATGGGAGTTTATGTTTCTATTGTCTTTCCTTATGGACACAGAATTTGGCTGAAGTTGTATTAAAGCTCATATAAGCTGGAGATGGCTCAAGCAACCAGATTCAGTGTGGGGAACAGTCTGCAGCCCAGTCCCTGCCGCTCGCATTCGCTCTGCACACATTTTCCATGCAATCCCATAAGCCAGGTTCTGTGCTCACTGTGGAGACACCTTCTGAGGTTATTAAATGTCAGTCCCTTTTAGGGCTTTCTGAGATTGATCATTACAGCATCTCCTAGGATCTTAAATCCTTGCCCTAAATTTCTTCGAGGAAAGTGATTCTAGAAACAGGTGGAACCTGAGAAAACCTGGATGACTATTAACTAGCTCAAAATGTGTCTGGTATTTTCTAAGTCCAATTGGAGATCAATTAACCATTTCTTATGTGCAAACTACTCCCTTCTGAAAGGTATTTATGGGCCCAGAACGCCCATTACATTGTTTCCTTTCATGGTTTTTTGTTAAGTTCGGTTTTTTTCCCTTCGCCCAAGTAGCACTTTTTAATCTGTTTCTTGGCTAAGGCAAATTGCTGTCATTTATGCGCTACCACTGCCTCAGGCTGGTTTTTCTTTCTGTTGGTCTTTAACCTACTAACACACTTCTGTGTCTCCCCTAATGGCATCTTGGCAATGGTAATGGGCAGAAGCTCAATTAGGAAACACTATGAATCATACAATTTAGTCTCAGAATGTGCAGGATTTCCTGAAATGACAAAAGGATTTCATTTTCCCTTGTCCCTTACCATTCTAAATCCCTTCCTTGGTGCTCCACCCTGACCCACATCATTCTTCAAACACATTTCTCAGGTTATACAAAGAGCATCTTAGGTGAGCCGACTCCTTACCTATTTGCCAATCCCAGGGCACCTTTAACAGCTCCTTGTGCTCCATTATAGCTCTGAAAATTCAAAGAGAACAAATCTGATGAGCAAGATTAGAAGGCATTCTACATTGTTCTTCTTCTTCTTTTTTTTTTTTTTTTTTCACTTATCAGATTTATACAAATAATGAAGCAACCAGATGAATTTCAGAAAGAATTCTGGGTCACACAGAAGCAAGTCTAATTAGGTAGCCTGTGGTTTATCCCTGAAGAACCTGGTCAGTGTGTGAGGGTGTGCCCGGGGGCCCTGGGGAGGTCAACCCTTCCTGCCCTTCTCACCCAAACAGTCGGCCTGCAGCCTTTGTTTCTGCTTGACAGATGCTTTTTGAAAAGCAAACGGTGAGGTTCAGAAAATGTCTGTGCTTGCAGGTTTAATCAATTTTCTGATTGAGCGTTTTCTAGGGCAATGGTTCTCAAAGTTAAATGTACACGACAGCCATCTGGAGAGTGCGTTAAAACACACTGTTTCCTGGTCCCATCTCTAGAGATTCGGATTCAGAGATCCGGTGAGATCCATGGATGTGCATTTCTGGCATGTGCTCATGTGATGTCGGTGCCGCTGGTCGGAGAAACATATTGTGAGAACCACTGATCTAGAAGAGAATGGGGAAGTGAGACTGCACCGCTCCACCAGCATTACTTTGAGTCCAGTGAGCCCTCAATATATCCCACTTGCCAAGCACACCCTAATGACACTCCCATTATTTTGGCAGCAGTGGCCCCCAAAGGGAACACTCAACTCTAATAGACTGTAACCGAAGCAAATGAGCACTAGGTCTCTGAACATATTTTTTGGACTCAAGAATCATAACCCATAAAAGAAGCCATCTATCTACAAAACGTTGGCTATGAATGGTAATTTCTTTTCCTCTCACAAAGCTGAAGCACCAAATTTAGGAGACTTAAAATGCCATCACTTTCAAAATGAACTCCAAATAAATCCTTCTCAGTCTGTGCCTTGTTTGCTGTGAAGTTTTCCACCAATAACTCAAGACACCAAAATTTGGAGGATTGTTGAAAACAGGCTATTTGTAAAACCTGTTTAAGGTGATACCAAAACATCTTCCATAAATAACTTCAGACACCAAACCAGTGCAGTTACAAAGTGCTTGCTTTGTAGAAAGAGATTGGTGAAATCCAAATTACCGGTTTGTAGAAAGGGATTTGGTAAAATTTGACTGGAGGTTATACTATCATTCTTTATGTCTCACGTGAAGCTACACCATTCGTCCTTACTGATGGAAATTATGCTTTGATTGAAACTTATTTTCATAACAAATTCTGAGACAAGTCATTGATGACTTCTATGTTCCAGCTGTAGAATTATCACAAAACTGGTGCTTTTGACTTTGTGATGCTTAGTGAATGTCTGTGTTATATCTTCACCTTTATTCTAAGAGATACATTTGGAATGTGGTTCACTCTTGCAAATCCATGGGCAGTAAAATCACACATTTATAAAAGTGTAATTTTAAACTATAAGTTTTCTATTGGTGGTTGTCATGAGTATAAAGAATATTCCTTTTTGGAAATTCATTGAATTGGGGCCTTTATGCTTAGTTTTTCTACTTCTCCAAGTAAACCCCACTCATTGGTTTGGGAGAATCAGCCCTAATGCTTCTAATGCTTTCTTGCAAGTTATTTTCAATGTTTTATAAAACATTAAGTGTTTTATAAAAATTTATACTAAACTTGTTTAATTTGGAGGAAATTTACTAATAAAGGTGTTGAGTTGGCAGATTTCATGAATCCTTTGTACAGGAAGCTGGTGTCTGGATTCCAGCCTTGATTTTTACATCCCGAGAACAAAAATTCTAAGAATCATTCTTGTCAGTCTCGCTATTATCTAAATTTCTTGTTACTTTTACTCACAATTGAATTCCACTGAAAAATGCTCCAAAGAGACCAATCATTCCCAGGAATTCCACTCGGCTCAGGGTTCGGATGATGTATTCTTCCCAGACGTTAGAGATACCATAGAGTGTGGCTCCTCCTAAGACCAGAAGGTCCCCTACCAGCTTATTTTCCCCTAGGAACCAACCAAACAAACAGAGGGAGCATCACTAAAACTTTCTTAACAAGAATCTAATAGGTGATGAGGAGGAAGGCAGCAAATCACACTGCCATGTGTGTACCTATGCAACAATCTTGCATGTTCTTCACATGTACCCCAAAACCTAATATGCAATTTAAAAAATTGAGAAAAACAAACAAGCAAGCAAACAAACAAAAAACAAAAAAACCCAAGAATCTAGTATCGGCAAATTGATCTTCCCTTGTCTATTCTGTTTTGACATTTTTATAGAAGTTCTGCAATTTCCAACTGAGATTTAGTAAAGTTTGTTTATCTGTGCTCTAGACATGTTCTGATATAAAAAGGCTGCCTATGTTGACACAATTAGAAGTCTTCTCTGACTAAGAAAGAGATCAGTCTCTTCCAGATCACACCCTCTTCACAAAGCCCACTATCTTCTGTCCAGGTATGTGTCTATGTCTATATATACATGGTAACAGATGTACAAGTTACATTTGTTTCAGGGCATTTTTCATCAGTTTAGTGAACACGGTGTAGAACGAACAGAAGCAGTATAAATTTCCACCTTCTGCTATTCAGGGAGGGAAGCTACAGCAGAAGCCATCAAGACTCCATTTTGACCATGGGCAAAATGTGTAATTGTTAGAAAATGAGAGTGAAAGGATTAATGGGTTGAAATTTTCAACTTCCCTGAAGTAAGTAACTTAAGAGTATAAATATATGTAATTCACTATCACATTAATATTTTTTTCATTAAAAATTCTTTTTGTTTTAAACTCAATTTTGGGCTGGGAACAGTGGCACATGCCTGTAATCCTAGTACTTTGGGAGGCCAAGGGGGTGGATCACTTGAGGTCAGGAGTTCGAGACCAACCTGGCCAACATGGCAAAATCTTGTCTCTAATAAAACAACAAAAATTAGCTGAATACGGTGGCAGTTGCCTGTAAATCCAACTACATGGGAGACTGAGGTGGGACAATCTTTTAGAACCTGGGAGGTCGAGGTTTGCAGTGAGCCAAGATAGTGTCACTTCACTCCAGCCTGGGCGAAAGAGCGAAATTCTGTCTCAAAAAATAAGTAAATAAAAATAAAAATAAACTCAATTTTGATTGGTTTAAAACAAAATAAACGCTTTACCCAGGTATTTCCTAGAATTGGGCAAACTTCCCACTCTAGGAAGTATGGAACCAGGAAAGGAGGAGAGTAGAGATAGGCAACTAGAATGGCCTCACTGGTGGGCTCTATACCCAAGTGGTCTCTGGCTCTGTCCTGCACAAGTCAGCAGTGCAGGAGCTCAGCTGACCTGTAGCTCTGGAGTAGCGCAAGTTCAGAATGGCAAGGGTGCTCACTCTAGTGTGATTCTAAGAAAAGGGCTCATGATAGCTTGGCCTTGGATTCCCTGACGAGCCTGGTTCTCACTGTTCAGTGGGGAGCACTGAGCATTCGCTAGGTAGTGGCTTTGCCCCAAAGAATCTGGGCAGGGCTTGAGGAAAGACCTTGGCATGTGGTCACCAAGGAAGATTCTAACTCTAAATGGTGCCAATTTTTCTAAGGCAACTTCCTTTCCTGGCAAGGATTGAAGAGAGAGGGGGAGAGACCCAGAAGGCAGCATCCTGCTGGAGTCATCCTCAAGGGAATTGAGCTGAGAATGTGATTTTGTGAGAGCTGGAAGCTCTCTTTGGGTTCATGGGGAGTTAGGCATCGCTGCTCAGGAGATGAGCTGAGAACTTGATGAGGCCCTAATGAGAAACCAGGCTTGGTGAGAGTTCCCTGGACAGATCTTTTAGGAAAATTAAGGTTGCTGTGACAGAATGGGAAATCTCTGGCAACCTGATTAATCCTTTTTATGTGTCAACTGCAAAATAATGACAAGCTTTTAATTTTAAGTAGTTCATCTGAAGAATGACCCATAAAATAGAACATATCTCTAACTAAAGCTGTAAAATTATAATGAACATGATCCAGTCTCTTTTCACTCAGAAGACATTTTAGAATCTTGTGATAACATAGGGTCATTATTATGAATGTCTATTATTGTTGTACTGGTGAAGTGTGGAAGTGCTGCATAATACAATTCTTGGTTAATAAAACTAATTTTATAGAAGGAATTGAAGACAGCTAAATAATAATGAGATATTTTAATAGAAATTAGGGAAGCATCAATCTACCTTTTGAAAGTCCTAAAAAGAGGACACACTATTTCAGTCAATATTCTTACCAATATTTTTCCAACTCCACACAGTTACGGCCCCTTCTGTTAACTGGCCTTTGACTGTAAGAAATCCACTTATCACTACTTTGAGTTTTCACCAATTCAGCAATAATTATTGATAATCACAACACAATTTTGTGTAACCACAAGTTCAGAGTATTTTCTAAGTTATCACTAATAAAAAGATTAAATATTGTTTATTGTAATTTGCTGGTAATTATATCTGTCAGTTAAGTCATTTGAAAGTAGGTACATAGACATATAACATATATAAAAATTTTGCTAATTTAACATAATTAAATTAATCAGAACACAATTTTATCTATAATGAAGTATTTGATGTAATAAAAAGTATAAGGTCCAGGACTAATATTTTGTGTCTAAAATTTATATCTAGTTAATTGCAAATTATAACATATTGCATTAATAACATTTAAAATATTAATGTATTTTATGTGTTGTTCATGCAGTAGATACCTGACATGGTGATAGCAGTTTCTGCACAATGTTCATGGAGAAAGTTATGTTCAGAACATGTCACTGATGTGTGTATAAAACCACAATAGGCAATAATGATTTATAAATTTTGGGTAAATGGACATATTTAAAATTATGAAATGTCCACCCAACCCAATAGTTCTCTCCCTCCTCTGAATTTCACAGCATTGGCTTCTGTCCGTGGCACTCACCATATCCCACTCCTTGCCTGCTACTTGTGAGCTTGTGTATCTCATCTCCCCACAGCCAACTGTTCTCTTACAAATCATGGTTGAAGGGCAGGGACTCGGGCTCACTCAGCTGTATATTCTGTGTGGTCTCTAGCATGGATCCTGGAGCATTACACATTCTCAATAAATGGCTAAATGAATTGAGCTGACAGTAAAGGTCTTAATACATCCTATGGTAAATGTTTTCATTGAGAACAGCATTCATTGGTAGAGTTGGGTCTGATCACATCTCTACCACTTACTAGCTGTGTAATCACTTACTAGCTGTGTGATACTGGACAAACTACAGAGTCTTTGTGAACTTCAGTTTCCCCATCTTAAAATTAGGTTACTGTGAGAATAAAGTAAAATATGACATGTAAAATGCTTAGCATTATCTCTGACACTTAGTAAGTGTTCACTAAATGGTAGTTTAAAAAAGTGAATATATTATTTCCGGTCAATAGCCACCTGTTTTTTTGAATTGGGCATTCTTATTTTGATTGCTTCTTGATTCTAATCAACCTAGTCATGATTGCTTTGTAAAAACTAGCTTTCCTTATTAGATTTTTTTAAGTACTAAAAAAAAATCATGTTTGAAGGCATGTTTGTGTATGCATGGTGGTGGGAGAAAACAGGAAGGTTATCTGAAATCATGACTTACCACTAGGACAAGAAATAAATAGAGTTATACTATTCTAGAGTGTTGAAAGACTATTAGTGCAGTTCCTGAAAATGTATCATCCCATTGAATACATCTACATCTCAAATAGGGGGACCAACTGTCTTGTTTTCCTGGGACTCTCTTGGTTTTAGCATTAAAAGTTCCACAGCTGGGTAGCTTCTCCATTCTGAGCAATCTAGGACAGTCACTTACTAATTTAGCACGATAAAACATCTTTAAATTTGTTATAGAAGTCACAATTACAGAAAAATAAAGACTAAGTAGTATAGCAGAAAGAATACTGGTTAAATTTCACATCTGGGCCACACAATTTGGTGATGGTTTGCCCTTAAACATGTTGCTTATCTTCTTTGAACCTTGATTTCTTCCGCTGCAAGAATGACAATAAAAATTCTTTGCATAGTTAGGAGGAATAAATGAAATAATATATAATAAAAGTATCTGGCACCTGTGGGCACTCAGCAAAAAAATGTCATTTTTACTTGATTGTGTTTGATTACCTGGCTCCTTGAAAATATTTTCTTTTCCTTGAAATAAATATGAAATTATGTGTAATAAAAAATTATTGTTGGCATCTAACATCTTCGATAAATGAACTAAAAGATGCAATAAATGTATTGTGCTAGAAAGAGGATATTTTGAAGGGCAAGGAAGATATTTTATAATAAGGAGTTATTTTAATTAGGTTTTGTCTTAATCTTATTACCTTCTAACCTTGCCTTTTATATCCATTAAGTATTTCCAGGCAAGTAGAGAAGTCTTGGTGCTGACTCTTTTCAGCTTTACTAAGTCATTTTTACATATTCCATCATCTGTAATATTTATAATATTCTCAGGAGCCGCTTCTATTGCACGTCAATCATCCTGCACATCGGTAAATGCAGAGATGGTCTTTCAGAGAAGGCCTATACTGCTGACATGGAACCAAGGTGGCAAAGAGAATATACATATTAAGCCCACTGATTTTTACCAATAATCTTGGAAAAGACATTTCCTTCAAGTGAGCTCAAAGGTGTGGAAGCATCCTAGAGTGGGCGATCAGCTGTACACATGACACACACAGAATGAGAATGTAAGGGCTGTTTGCATCCTTGCTACCATGTATACCACTCTATCGTCTCTAGGGCAGAGTCTTGCAGGCTGCGGACTAGGATAGTTTCTCCTTATCTCTGTCTAGAGTGGGAAACTTGCTGGTCAAGTTTCATCGAAAGTGCTATTCCTGGCACATCATTCTGTGCCCTGACACTTACATTTTGTACATAAAGTACTTAATGCTATCTAAGAAGTTTCCTTCAGCCAGACTTAAATCAAAACAAATAATTCCTGGATAGATAATGAAGAAACATGCTGTCAAAGTAGAATTAAAGCAATTGTTTTAATTATAATGAAGTCAAAGAAACTTTGAAAGGGCCAACATCAGTGTGCTTGGAGACAGAATTGTCAAAATCCCAAAGAAAGGTGAAACAGATTAAACATTATACAAAAGGATGAAGTAAGACAGCCTCTTTTCCTGTGCAAAATTGTTGATACAGTGATGATAATTTTATTATTATTATTGTGATTTTCTTTTTTTGAGATAGAGTCTTGCTCAGTTGCCCAGGCTAGAGTGTAGTGGTGCAATCATAGCTCACTATAACCTTGAACTCCTGGGCTTAAGCAATCCTCCTGCCTCAGCCTCCCAAGTGGCTAGAACTATAGGTGCATACCACCATGCTGGCTAATTTTTTCTATAGGATGGGGTCTCACCATGTTGCCCAGGCTGAACTCCCAGCCTCAAGTGACCCTCCTGCCTTGGCCTCTTCAGTCACTGGGATTTCTGAATGTGTCTGGCCTGCTGGTGACAATTTATATGGACTTGGATGCCTGATTTATGTTCTGGTGAGTACTTGCCGTATTTTAGAAAAGTTTTGTGACCCTGGCTGATTAATGCAATTGAACCAACTCTGCCATAGAGATGAAGAAAAAAAAAGTATATTTTTGACAATGATAGACAACAATTTTAGGATTCTATTGACCTCAAAATCAGTAGGTTGTTTTTAAAACAAAATGTTCTCTAAGATAACTTAAATTGCTGCCTACTTTAATATTTTTATAGAGGCAGAGCATGTCCAATTGTGATTTTATAAAATGAGGCTTTGGATCCTATATCTGGGCTGGTCTTAAAACATTATTCTATGCACATGGGCACCATTTCAATAGCACAGAAGGTGCTCCACAATGATAAAGCTTAATTCTGTTATCACTGGTGCTTTGTGTATCACAAAAGCAACGATACTGTGAGCCTTAAACAGATTCACATGAACAAACCAAATTCCACTCCAGTATGTTTTAGCCACATCTACACTCTTTTTTAAAAATGACACTTTGGAAAGACTCTCAAATGGACTTACTTTCTTCTTCTTAAGCAGTTTTGCTTCTTTTCTAACACTCCATTTCAAATCAAAATGACATTTTTTACAGGATTAATGAATACAATCTAGTGAAATCAATTCAAATTAGCTTAACATTCTAGGCTTAAATGTTCATCTTTATAGTTGACTATCAAATGCAAGATGACAGCTAAGATGAGTGGCTGGGGTTCATGAAGGTAGCGTTTTCATAACTGAGGGTACAGGCTTCTGCTTATTCTGTTTGCACAGTGTGTGGAAAGCTGAGAAAGTATAATTAAATTATGACTTTAGGCTGGCTGCGGTGGCTTATGCCTGTAATCTCAGCACTTTGGGAGGCCAAGAGTGGAGCACTTGAGGTCAGGAGTTCAAGACCAGCCTGGCCAAGGTGGAGAAACCCTATCTCTACTAAAAATACAAAAATTAGCTGGGCATGGTGGTGGGAACCTGTAATCCCAGCTACTTGGGAGGCTGAGGCAGGAGAATCACTTGAACCTTGGAGGTGGAGGTTGCAGTGAGCTGAAATTGTGCCACTGTGCTCCAGCCTGGGTGACTGTCTCAAAAAAAAAAAAATCATGACTTTAGAACAACTGGCCACATTGTATCAGACAAAAATATTATCTGATTGCGCCAAAAGATTGTTCATATCGGGATTACTACATGTTTATAGCATAATATTGGCCCTTTCATAGGACATCTATTGGTATGTCATAGAACCAGTGTTTCATAGAAGAGAATCTGGGAAACACCGAGGTATGTATTTTCAGACTTTCTATTGAAGTGGGGACCAATAGCGTTGTGTATGTGGCATGAATCTGTGAGGCTGAGGCTGTCTCTCTCTTGCTCTGTGTTGTATCTTCAGCTCCCAGCAACATGGGAGAGAGAAGAGGAGGCTTGTGTTCCAGTGTCTGTTTTGTCAGCTCTGTGACCTTGGGCAACTCACTTGGTTTGCATGGATCTTGGTGTTTGCATATATCAATTATAAAGGAGCTGAACAAGGTCCTTTCCAGTTATAAAGTTCTCTGGTACAACATACACAGCATCGTTTCAGAGACTTCATGTGACCTTGTTTCATAAAGAGAAATGGTCCACTTTCGACTCTTTTATCATCTAATTTCCTAGGAAAAAGGGCAATTCCAAGAACTATAGAAAAGTGGGTACTTTCCATCCCATTTCTAATGTTAACAAAGGTCATTTTTTTTTCTGTTCCAAAAACGCTTCTGTAGCAAAAATTTTAGTACATCTTAAAGAACTGCGTTTCTTTAAAAAGGGTCCTCTGGAAACCACCCCGGCTCGGGGTTCCCTCAGCAGATTTGCAGCATTTTGATGAGTGGGAATCATGCAGCTTACCTTATGGGTTTATAAACTCTAATTGAAACCAATAACCCCTCCTCACAAAACAAATAAAAAACCATGTGTGAGGAGACTGAACTTAACTCTCACTCCTAAAATTATGGAGCACTCCTAATCTAGTCCTCAAACTTTATTCACTGGTAGGCTTATACACCAATCTTCACCCAGTAGTTTGAAAGCTCAGTCTGTTGCTGGCTTGACAGAGAAAGGTTTTGGGTTGGGGAAATGTGGGGAAGGCCCTGTGGCTCAGGAGTGAATGAACTCATTACCACCAACTCTAACGAGGACCACAAGGGCCAGGGCTTGGGCCAGGCAGCTGGTTCAGGAATGGACTGACCTCCAAAACATCTTCTGGGTAGGTCACGACTCTCAGTTTTAAACACTGTCTGCATGTTTCTGAATGGATGGAGAGGGCATGAAAGCTGTATTTTGCATTCTTCATTCACTCAAGAAACATGTATTAAGCGCTTTCTATGTGCCCTGTATAGATGTGGGGGACAAACATGAATAGGACACAAATACTGGGAAACCCACATTCCTAAGGTCCTTGTTTTCATCCAACTATGCACATTCCACTTCTCACCTTGGCCTCACCTGCAGAGGTAAGGAACCTGGTAAACATCTGAAGACTCACCTGCTCCCTGATGCCTTCCCACAAGCACATCTGCTCCTACCATGCAGCCCATCCCCAGGATGCAGACGACGATGCCGATGAAATGCACAGCCTTGTACCGGATCAGCAGGAAGAACCAGGAGAGCAAAATCACGACTGGGATCACAAAACAGTCCAGGAGCTATTGGGAGGGAGGATGATAAACAACACGAGGAGGTTCAGGAGGAAGATTTCCATGTAACAGGGGAAAGTAATTTAGCTCTGCAGAAAGGGTTCTGTCTTTCCCCTGAACCTGAGATTTTGTGTAGACCCTGACTTGATGTAGTTAAAACAGACTCTGAAATAAATGGAAATTAGTTTTATTTATTTACTTAATTGTAAACATCCCCTATACTTTGAGGGAAGGAAGAGAAGGCAAATTGGTAAGACAGGCTGGTGGCGAAGATTCTCCTGCCTCCAAGTGCTGGGGCAGCTTTGCCTCCTGCCTCCTTCAGAGCCAGGCCATGCTCCATGGGAACACCTGTGGTTTGGGGAGAGTACACTCAGGCTTTTTACATTGTCACCCTATTTTATGCCTAGATCTGGGAATGGGAGGTGAGGGTGCAGCGGTCTTTTAATGTTTTATGAATTATTAGAATTTAGACAAAGGTTGAATTTAATATTTCCTGAACAACTGTCTTTCTGCTACCAGTAAAAGCTGATCTGTTCTTGTCATTTCATTCTTAAAATAAAAAATTGCTCTAAATATAAATACAAACATGAGTCTCAAAAGTACAAATACTTAAAAAACTCCTAGAAAAAAAATTTTAAAAAGAAAGTTGAATAGAGTATAGCAAAAGATTTTGATTTCATTTTTATATATTTTGTATCAATAGATTCTATCTGACATGAAAGTCCAAGGAGTTGGTAGAGAATTTGCCCCAATTATGTAGAGATAATGTGATGAAATGAGAAGACCCCTGTGCTAGGAGCCAGAAGATCTGAATTTAAGTACAGATCCTCATTTATAGCTATGTGACCTTGGGCAAATCACAAACTCAGAAGCTTCGAATTTCTGTTAGTAAAATAAAAATAAAAACTTTCCCCAAAGATCAGTATGAACCTCAGAGATACTATACACGAACGTAATTCGTAAATTACGAAGTCCTCATTGCTGGTCTATAACCCTGCTTTCAAACACATGCTCTGGGCTCCATGGAACTAATTCAGACTCTACCACACTGTGGTAAGACCTCTGGATACACTATCGAAGACACGGTCTCTCTTAGACAAAGTGATGTCATCTAGAACTTCAAGTTTCTTGTACCACATGAGGAACTTGTGATTCGCCCAACTGCCCAGTATATTTCCTTGCTAGAATTCTACACAAGTGCCCCTACCACCCAGCTGCCAGTATACGGCAGAGGTCCTCAATACCCCTTCACTTTCATTGTCTATATCCTATTGATTGCCAAATTCTGCCAATTTAATCTTCCAAACATCTCTCAAATCTACTCATGTCACGCTCTCCTACTTCTGCCACCTGGACTGAGCTAACATCCTCTACTACATGGAACAAACCTCTCTTCCCTGCCCCAAGCCTTCACTTACGTACATCCCTCCTTCTGGAGTGCTCCACTGCTTCAACTTCCTCCTCCTTTTCCTTCAGGCCTGCACTTATAAGTTGCCTCCTCAGGAAAGCCTCTTAGATCCCCAGGCTAGGTCAAGTCCTGTTTGATGTTTTTGTTGAACCGTGTACTTTTCCTCTGTAGTTCCAATTGTAATAGTACTTAATTAATACACGATTCTTGACATCAGAACACTGCTGGGCTTAGGAAGAGTGTTCAATAAGAGTTATTGAACAAATACATACAAAGATTTTTAATGATCAGAAACATCAAAGTGGAGTCTCCAAGATTCATTGAAGGCTGGAAAAGGTTTGTGTATTTGCAAAGCATCCCCAAACATCAGAGTGGCTTCTTAGCACTGCAAATAGCATTCTGAATCTCCTCTATCCCCAAGGCTTTTTGTGATCTGGACAGATGCTTGTGCTTCTCTGTGCACTGGTCTTCTCTGCAAAATGAAACAAGCACTCAGAATAGTAAGCTGTCTCCGGGGTTGCTGAGACGATAAGGTGAGGAAGAACCATGTGAATGCTAAGTAGCACTGTGATGGCTGGGGGCTGAGCACAAAGGTCACAGCACTCTTGGAGGGGCTACAGGAAGGAGGTGGTGGCAGGTAGGATTGTACCATAGCACACAGTTGCTCACCGCAGTTAATTAGCAATGATGATGTGGTAATATGCTCTAAGGTAGGTGTTACAGCTAGCCTCAGATGCTACTGAAGCATATTAGCAAATTTCTGTTTGCCATTGAAAACTGTTCACTGGGCATAAAACATTTGGTGTTTTGTGTTAAAAATTAAAAATGATCGAATCAAGTTGAAATATTTAGCTGCACACTCCAAAATTAGGGTTTCATTATCTAACTGGAAGCCTTCAGTCAGTGGAGCTGAAAGCCTCTATTCCTGAATTATTGAGGGCAAGCCGGGCCAACATGCAATCTTTGACGAGGGCTGAAGTGGGCTTTTAGGTTCTCAGTGTCATTAGGAAACCGAAAGCAATTGATAAGTCCCGAGATCTATTCCCTTTATGGTTTGAGTTGGAAAATCCTTATTTGTAAGTATCAGGTGGTCCTGTGGGTAAGTGTAAACTTTAGAAAGAAGAGAGGGGAAAAAAGAATATAATTATAATTTTTCTTAAAGAAGGATACAATCGAGCCAGAGTTTCTGGGGCATTTGAGAGAGAAGCTTGGTGCTTAGGATACAGTGGGGCCTCGGTAATTGGTGGCTGAATAAATCAATGAACGGTCAGACATGTGGTATCACTGACTGTCAGAAGGGACACTAGAGATAATCAAGGTTGCTACTGGCATTTAGGGTGGGACAATTCATTTTGTAAGACTGTCTCACATTCTCTGCAGGGCAGTTAGCATTGCTGGGGCTTGACCATTAAACATTCTACACATTTGCAAAGGCCCCTGGAGGGCAGTATCTCCCCAGTTTAGAATCACCAAGACCCCTTTATTTAACAGTTGAGGATTCATAAGTCCTGAGAGGTGAAATGATGTGCTCAAGGTCACACAAATTGTTGGTATCAGCAGAAGTTATGTCATAATAATTTTTTTGAACAATGTTTTAGTGAAGGTCAATGACGGGAATATTTAATTGCTACAGCCGAAGGTCTCACCATGGCATCTGTAAAGATTGAAGAGAAACTGTTTGGCAGCGGCTATTAGTAAACAGGCTATTCTTTTTTAGAGATTTTTGCTTTCAGCTTTCCCCCGTGGTCATATAACATAAAATATATTGACAAAATAATTATCTAATAGTTTTCTGGTAGCTTAATTCCTTAGCTAAGTGGTTGTTAGAGTAGTAAAAAAGAGAAGCATTATAACTGAAACTGTTAAAAAATAAAAAGAAAAAAAAAACTCCTGATAGTCATTAATCTTTTTAGTAGATTTAACTTCCTCTGTATACATCTCTGAATCTAAAAAGAAATTATAAAATAGCCATACCAAAACATAAACAAATATTATTTTACAACAATCTTATGTTCTGAAAAAAACTCAAAGGACACTAAAAACAATTTAACGAAAAAGAAAAGTGTCCATTACTCTTAGATTTACATAGCATCCTTTTCTTCCCCTCAAGGATTTAAACAAATTTTATTCTCTTCATGCACTGAATCCTCAGGCAACATATGCCAGAGGCGTCTAAGATTCTGTTTTCTAATTTTATCGATAGAGACGGCTGGGCGCAGTGGCTCACACCTGTAATCTCAGTACTTTGGGAGGCCGAGGTGGGTGGATCAATTGAGGTTAGGAGTTTCAGACCAGCCTGGCCAACATGAAACCCCGTCTCTACTAAAAATACAAAAATTAGCCGGGTATGGTGGTGTGTGCCTGTAATTCCAGGTACTTGGGAGAATGAGGCAAGAGAATCGCTTGAACCCAGGAGGCAGAGACTGCAATAAGCTGAGATCGTACCACTGCACTCCAACCTGAGTGACAGAGTGAGACTCTGTCTCAAAACAAAATAAACAAACAGATGAGACACTGAGGCACACATTACACAATGGCTGGGGCAAAGTCTCTAAAGTCATGGTGATAGCACAAGGATTATTATTTGAACTTTGTAAGTTTTTCTTAAATTTATTTTTTAAATAGAGATGGGGTCTCATTATGTTGCCCAGGCTGGTCTCAGTCTCCTGGGCTCAAGCAATCCTCCTGCCTCAGCCTCCCAAAGTGTGGGGATTACAGGCGTGAGCCACTTTACTCAGCTTGAACCTTGTTGTTTGAAATAACATTTACAGTTAGTTGCACTGTTTAAACTACCAGTTTGTAAAAACAATTACATTATTTTTACGGTAGACAAAGTAAATCTTCACAACGGCCCTTTAAGAAAGTTACAACTATATCTACTTAAGTGGATATAGTGAAGATGGTCTAAGAGAAAAGGAAATTAGTATTAGAATTGGGCCTGGCAGGGAATGGTGGCTCATGCCTGTAATCCCAGCACTTTGGTAGGCTGAGGTGGGTGGATCATGAGATCAGGAGATCGAGACCATCCTGGCCAACATGGTGAAACCCCATCTCTACCGGAAAATTAGCCAGGCGTGCTGGCATGCGCCTGTAGTCCCAGCTATTCAGGAGGCTGAGGCAGGGGAATTGCTTGAATCTGGGAGGCAGAGGTTGCAGTGAGTGGAGATTGTGCCACTGCACTCCAGCCTGGGTGACAGAGAAAGACTCCATCTCAAAAAAAAAAAAAAAAAAAGAACAAAGAATTGGGCCTAAAACACTAGCCTCTGGACTCCTACATCAGAGTTAAAGTGCAGCTTCCAGAAGTTATTTAAATAAAAAAGGTTCATGTTGACATTACTTTTAAGACAACAGAAGACAGTCAACATTAAGTAGCATTAAAATTTTATGTATATATGTAAGGAAGATTGAAGCATCATTTAATTTCCTCTCTCTCCAGCTGATCTCTGACCATCTTACCACTGTACCTTTCTCTGCAGCCTTTAATCACATTTGGTTATGCCCTCTCCTGCTCACACGCATGCTCCGCCTCCCTTCCTGCCAAAATCCCCTTAAGCTTCTCTCTGGACTCCTGTGGACACTCCTTCCCTTTGCCAGCAGTCCC